AAAGAAAGAAAAAGAAGGGAAGGAGAGAGGATCTTCCTGAGGAAGGAAGGGAGGGAGGGAAAAGAAAGAAGAAATAGTTAACAGTATAGCCCTTTCCATATTAAAGAAATTGAACATGCAGTTTAAAGTATTTTCACAAAGAAAATTCTAGGGCCAAACATTTAAAGTAGAAGTAATACCAATTCTGTGCAAACCGTTCAAGGAAACTGAAGAGGAGGGAATACTTCTCAAATCACTCTGGGGGCCAACATTACTCTGATAGCAAACCAGGCGAAAACATTACAGGAAAACTATAGACCAATATACCTCACGAATATAATATAGGTGCAATAATTCTTAATAAAATTTTAGCAAATTGGACACATCTTTCTATAAAAAGGACAATCCATCATGACTAAGTTGAGATTCATCACAAGAGTGTAAGAATGGTTTAACATCTGAAAATCAAAGCAATGCAATTCACCATATTAATAGACGATATGAAAAAACATCTCAATAGATGCAGAAAAAGGCATTAGACAAAATCCAACACCATTTTATAATAAAAACACTCAACAAATCAGTAATAGAAGGGAATTTTCTCAATGTTATGAAGGGCATCTGCAAAAATTCCATAACTAACAGTAAGCTTAATGTGAAAGACTACATGTTTTCTCCCTAAGATCAGGAACAAGACAAAGACGTCTGCACGTCTAAGAACTCAATCAAAGCAAATAGACAATCTTCAAAATGGGAAAAGATATTTGCATGCAAATCTGACAAAGGTTTGATAACTAGGATCCATGGAGTACTCAAGTTAATCAACAAAAAAGAGCAAACAAATCCATCTATGACTGGGCAAGAGGCATGATCAGCACCTTCTCTGAGGAAGACAGACAAATGGCTAACAAACATATGAAAAAATGTTCATCGTCCCTAATCATCATCAGAGAAATGCAAATCAAAAGCACCCTGAGATATCTCCTAACCCCAGTAAGATTATCCCACATCACAAAATCCCAAAGCTGCAGATGCTGGCATGAATGTGGGGAGAGGGGAACACGTCTGACCACAGCTACCCTCACACCTGCCCCTCTTCGGCACTTCCTGTCTCAGTAAATGCCATCACTGTCACCCAGTGACAGTGGCTTAGGCCAAAACTTCTAGCATCTGTCTTCTTCTACTCCTCTCCTGCTTTTGCACTCCATATTATTTTCTATCAGAAAATTCTGGTTGCTCTTCCTATTTAAAGAAGCCTGATTTTTGGATCTGAAACACATTCTTCTTAGTAAAGTATCACAAGAATGGAGAAGCAGGAATCCAATGTACTCAATTCTCATATGAAGCCAGTAGATGAACTAATACCCACATAAGAGAAAAACTCAAAGGAATTCAAGGTGGGGGGCAGAGGTATGAGGGAGGGGTGAAAGGGGGAATGGTGGGAGGTGGGTGAACTCCCACTTAAAGGGTGCACTGTTAGGGTATATGGCACACTCTTGGGGGTGGGACACAATTATAAAGGGCACTATACTTAACATATGCAAACATTGTACCCTCAATTAACCTGAAACAATAAAAAATAAATAAATAAGCAAAAATTAAAACA